GAAGTCGTTGGAGACGTCTTCGGTGTCGTCGTAGTCGTTGTGGGCGGCGTCGTCTTCGTCGTTGTCGCTGTCGTCGTCGGCGTCGCTGTCGTTGCCAAGTGCCATTTGGTACCCACCGTCACGGTCTTCAGAGATTTTGCAAACCAAGTTGCGGGTGGGTGGGGTGGGATATTTGCGCGAGCAGTGGAGTGGACAACTCACTGCGAACAGAAATTAATTGCACGACATAGACTGCACCACGTAGATTGCACGACAGATATTGCACCACAGGGAATGCACCACATCGATTGAACAAAACGTGGGTTGCACAAACGATGGATTGCATAAAATAGACTGCACCAAATTGATTGCACAAAGCATTGATTGCACAACATAGAGTGCACAAAAACACCGATTGTACAAATAGATTGCACAATCTATATTGCACCACATGGACTGCACCACATGGATTGCACACAACATAGACTACAACACATAGTGAACACAAGATGGATTGCACCACATAGATTGGTCCACATAGGCTGCACAATAGAGATTGCAAAACGTAGATTGCACCACATAGATTGCACGACTTGTGCCACTAGAATCACACTGTTTAGGGCTCCACGCTGGCGAATATACCCATCAGTCTCACGACCTCTACAGATGTCCATGTAATTAAACAGATGTCGGCAAGCTTCACTATCTAACCATCGACAAACAAAAGTGTCGGTCCCACTACCGTTGAATACCACGATTAAGCCAGCTATAGGTTTCACTATCTCCCCGCCGATCCAGCTGTATATCGAGCTCACTGTCTATCTACCGATACCACGATCGCCAAATCTAGCGATCTCGCTTGTTATCTGCCAACCCCTCACACTGTGTCACTACGTCTGACGATCCGTATATCAACCGTAAGACAGCCATGGCGAAGCACCGGCCGTGAAACAACCAGAGCGGGAAAATCACGGGACAACTACGGGACGATCACGGAATAAGCACAGGACAACCAAAGGACAACCACGCGACAACCGCGAGGCAATCACGGGACAACCGTCCGAGCAACCACGCCACAACCACAAAACGGCCGCCGAAACAACCGTAGGGACAACCATCGGGACAACCGCCAAACAACCACGGGACAACCATGGGAAAACCCCGGGATGACCCGGAGACTACCCGGGGGCCCTGGCGCGCACACTGGGGCGAAGCAATCTGACGTGAACAATCTCTAACTAGGGGAGGGCCTCTCTCGCCCTCGCACAGATTCGTCTCGCTTGCACTGGCGTCACGTACGGCACGAAAATGACTTGAAACCGATGTCTTTATGGACAGTTCAGGCCGTCCGAGGTCCCCAACTGCTGGCATGGCAACCGCAGGACAACCACCAGGGCTGCCATGGGGACAGCTGTTGGGACAACCACCGGGGCAACAATCAGGACAACCATCGGGACAGCAATCGGAACATTCATCGGGATAACCATCGGGGCAACCGTCAGGACAACCAATGGGACAACCACCGGGACGAGAATCCGCCGACCCCTTGGGGTCATCGGCGTGTGAGATGCTTCCCCCCTCCCCAAACCCCTCCCCCCGGAGCCTGGTCCGGTCGTTTTGGAGGGGGGGGGGGGGGGGTCCGGCCGGATTCCCCGGGATCCGCCGGCGCGGTCCGGGGGGGGTCATCCGCTCCAGAGAGTCTGCTGGGGGGGCCGCAAACGAGCGAAGAGGCTCCCAAGAAGCTCTGCAGACGGTCCAAGAGGGCCCCGAGTCGCCGAAAAAACACTCGAAGACGGTCAAGATGGCCTCCAGATGGCCCCAGATGCCTCCAAGACGCCCCAAGAAGCTTCCAAGACGCCTCCCAAGATGGCCCCAAGAGGCCAAAATCGTCGATTTCCATTGGTTTTTTCAACGTTTTTGGCCTTCGCGTTTTTTCGGGCTTCCGACGCTCCAAGACGGCGAAAGAAGCCCCCAAGACGGCATCAAGACGACCCGAGAGGCTCCCAAGTGGGCCCCAACACGGCCCAAGAGCGCCTCAAAACGGCTCAAGAGGGCCTTCAGACAGTCCAAGAGGGCCCACAGAGGGGCCCAAGAAAGGCTCCAGACGGGGACCACGAACCTAAAATTCTAGCCTTCCGCCCCAAAAGGCGCCAAGGAGGCCCCAAGAGGCCTCCAAGAGGCTCCAAGAAGCCCCCAAGAGGCCCCCAACAAGCCCAAAAAAAGCCCCAAGCTGCCCCAAAACAGCTCCCCAGAAGCCTCCAAACTGCCTCCCGCAGGCCCCCGAGAGGATTCTCACGACGACGGCGCCAGAGGCTCCCACAACGGTCAACGAAGCCCCCAAGATGGCCCCAAAAAGGTGCCCAGCCTACGCCGTCGAGTCTGTCGCCGCCATTGTCGTCCTCGTCGTGTTCTCCTGCTCCTTCTCATCCTCCTCTTCCGCCCCCTCCTCCCGTCTCCCCTCTCAGCTTTCTGTCTCGTATTCCCTCCACTGGCTCACTTTTCACCTTCTCCGCCTTTGGCTGCTCCCCCATCCTCCCTCCTCCACGTCCCCCTTATCCATCCCGTCCCCAGCGGTCAGATTCCTCGCAACTTCCGTGCCTTGTCGCAATGCTCGTCACTTGGTTCCGCCGGGCGTTTCGGAGGGTCTCTCCGCGGCGCTCGTCCCGCTTTAAAACACTTCGCGCACACAACTGGGTTGTTTCGCTTGAAATAATTCTTCTTCTGGTCTTTCGACAAATGGCCCCCGTCTGAAAACGCTGGTTTCTTCCCGTCCCCGTTCGGTGGGCACGCGGAGCATTCAAACTTTTTCGCCCCCGTGCGCGCATCGCCCCAGAAAAAAAAACAAGGGGTCGGCGGATGTGGCGTAAGCTTGAAGAATCAGGACAACCAGCGGGACAACCAGCGGGACAACCATTGGGACAGCCAGCGGGTCAACCGTGGCGACAGCCAGCGAAATAATCAGCGGGACAACCATCGGGACAATCATCTTGACAACCACCAGGACAACCTCGGGACAATCATCGGGACAACCGCGGGACCACTGTGGGAACAACAGCCCGCCGAGGGGGCGACTCATGTAAAAGTGAACCACCCTACACAAGGCGACGTTTCTCGCGCTTGCGCAGCTTCACCTCGCCCACACGCACGTCTCGCACGAGTGAGCCTCAGCTTCACTTTGGTCTTATCCCCCCAGCCTCCAAACTAGAACTTCCTGGCGACAGGTCCAAAATATGTCAAACTGCACACATACGACTCCTGTAATGTGTTCGTCTGGCCCCTCGGAAAATGATGTCAAATACCGAATGATGCTGGGCGCCAGATATCCCCGAATCCTCCCAGGCCACCGTCGCTCCCTCCCCCTCCCCCAGTGGATGCAAGTGGCAGCGCAACCTGATCGCAAGGATGCATCTTGTTTCGCCTGGCTGGCCAGCCAAGCGAACATGGACTATGACTGGCATTGGCCTATAGTTCCTCGTCGTCACAGTCGCCATCGCCATCGCCATCGCCACCCTCCTCCTCCTCCTCCTCCTCCTCCTCCTCCTGCTCCTCCTCCTCCTGCTCCTCCTCCTCCTCCAAATGGTCATCATCATCATCATCATCATCATCATCATCATCATCATCATCATCATCATCATAATCATAATCATCATCATCATCATCATCATCATCATCATCATCATCATCATCCTCATCATCCTCATCATCATCATCATCATCATCCTCATCCTCATCCTAATCATCATAATCATCATCATCAGCATCATCATCATCCTCATCATCATGAGCATCATCATCATCATCATCATCATCATCATCATCAACATCACCATCACCATCATCATCATCATCAGCAGCAGCAGCATCAGCAGCAGCAGCATCAGCCTCAGCATCAGCATAACCATCAGCATCAGCATCACATTTCATCATCATCACACACATCATCAAAATCATCATCAGTATCATCATCATGATCATTGTTGTCAGCGGCGCCGACGCACTTTGTTTGGTCAGCGGCGACGTGGGGCGCAAATCGCCATGTAGTCACGACGAGGTCGCAGAAGAGCTACGCAAGTGTGCACCTGCACAGATGGAGAAAAGCGGAGAGCAGCCGCGGAGTAGAGCGAACGGGGGGTGGAGACGCGGTCGGAGCATGAGTGGTAGGCAATACAAATAAACCCATAACTTTTTGGGACGGGACCTACGTGAGGAGGGCCAACGACATTAGGGATAGGGGCCTTTTCTGCAGATTATCAAGCCGAACCGTCCAAAGCGATTGCTCTTAACGCGAAGGCGAGGACCTCGATGGGGCCACGTCATCATCGTTTTTTGGGGGGGGATCTCAAGAGGCCCGCGGGTTCCCAAGGCATCGGGCGGTGAAGTGCCGAGCCACGCCAGGCGACAAGCAATGGCTGCGGCGGTACCTGTTCCCTCGGCCACCTAGCTGCGGCCCGATGATAATTCGTTGTTGTTTTGTTGCTGGCGTTGACCCTGTAGGGTAATCCACAGGTGCCGCCGAAGCCACGTCTACATCGCGTTATTCGGCTGAGGGTGTCTTTTGCTCGCGATGATGAGGCACTTCGCGCGGCGCTGGCAGCCTGCGCGCCTCGGCACACGCTACGCCTAGCGACGTGCTGCAGAGCGCCTGGCAGCAGCAGGCGCCGCCCGTGTTGCCTGGACCTTGGGACCCCGCTGACCTCCGGCAGCGCGCACCGGTGGGCCCGCAGGATCTGTTGGCGGCGCGCACAAGGGGGTGGAGGGGAGGGGGGGGGGCTTCTTCGAAGGAGGCTGCTTCTTAGAAGGCGCTGGCCTCACATCTTTAGAGAAGGCCCACGCCTTCTAAGAAGCAGGGGTGCTTCTAAGAAGCCCTCCCCCCTCCCCCCACCCCCCTCTGCGCGTGGCAGAATCTGTGCCGGCGGCGACGCGGGCCATCGGCTGATGCTGCGCATCCGCACTCGACTGGGAGGCCCAGCAGAGCCCCAAAGGTCCAACGCCTCGAAAAAAACATCGGAACGGAGGTCTTTCCCAGCTTCCGACTGCTCGGGCGCCGGGCCCCATTGGACCGGCAAGAAACGACTCGGGATGAAAAATCGGTCGTGGGTTGGGCGTGGCTTGATGGGGGGGTCATAGATGGCGAGGTCGGAGGCGGTCCCCTCTCCTGCCCTCTTCGGGCCCCTCCGGAGCCCCAGTGGGCTCGTTTCGGTACCGTCTGGGCACCTCTTCGGACCCCCCGTACCGTTTGGCCACCCCCCCCGTCATGACGCCGCCCCCTCTACGCGACGCCCAGCTGGGGAATGGGTCGAGTCTTCCGGGGGCGGCGACTGGAAAAAACAGAGTGGAAAAAAGCACGCCTCCGGATCTCTGGGGCCAGGCCTCGAGCCTGCGCGCCGCGGCGTCGCCCAGCGTTCGCAGGCTGGCCATGGGCGTCGGCGGGTGTAGTCTGCACAGGGGGCGTAGGTGCCAGCCCCTCGCGCCCGAGCTCGACGGCGCGCCGCCTCTCCGCGGCCGCGAGCCGCTCGAGGAGTTCCTGGGCGCCAAGAGGAAGAGAGAAAGGTGAGAGAGAGAGAGAGTAGCAGAGCAGAGCAGAGCAGAGCAGGGCAGAGCAGAGCAGAGCCGAGCAGAGCAGAGCAGAGCGGCTGCTCTGGATCGCGAAGAGAACCCTGCGCCGCATCGGCGTCATGGTTGGGGGGGCACCTGTCCAGGGCGCGCCTGCACAGGAACGGTCACGCTGCCAGCAGCGTTTGTGTGTGTGCGCAAGTTCTTGCTACTTGCACCTGCACGGCGTTCTGTCGCGCCTGTTACTTGCCTGGCGGCGGTGCCTGTCTCGCTTGTGCCTGTCTCGCGTCGCCACTTGCTGGCTGGTCTGGCAGCCCTACAGTGCTGTCCCTCTACTGCCTAATTCGCACCAGACTGCTGCACGCTCTTCAACTCCTGGCGTCGAGCTACGCTCCGCGGGATGCTTGGCCGCTGCACTTTGGCTCTACAGCGCCTCATCTTTTCACCACCACCACCACCACCAATCTGCATGGCAGTGGCTGGATTATTTCATCACGGCGCGTTCGACTAAGTTCGTTCGCAACTTGCGCCTCCATCTGCCGACCGCGCCTGAGGTTCCTCTGCGTCGCCGACTGAAAAATACAAGTTTTGTAGCAGAGCACGTGGCACGCTGCTCCATCGCCACCCCGGTTGCGGGCAGGGCCTGGACGAGAGGGAGCTCGCGATCGACGCGGGCGTGTTCGCTAACGCCGCCTGCGCGCACCCTGGCGACCTCTATGGGTCACGTGCGCTTGCTCCAACCTGGCAGCTGTCTGTCGTGTCGCCTCAGACGGATGGCCACCCGTAGTGTTTCGAGAATGGTGGGCCGTTCCAAACTGCATCTGGACTCGTCCGACGACGCGCGTTTCTCTGACTTCCGAAAACAGGCTCATGACATACCCGCTCCACCAGACCAGACGACCCCTCATCCTCATCGTCACCCTCACCCTCATCCTGATCCTCAAGCCCGCCCTCATGGTCACCATCACGCTTGTCCTCATCCAAGCCCTCACCGTTATCCACACCTCCACCCTCATACTTACACTCACCGTCGCCCCCAAATCATGCTCACATCGTCATCCTCACATTCACCGTCACCCACATCCTGACCTCAGCCCACTCCTCGCTCCTTCCTGTCCTCCTCATCCGCTGTCATCCTCCTCTTCCACATCATTATTTTCCTCCTCCGCCACCTCTTCTCTAGCATCATCGTCCTCATCTTCTATCCCTCTCGTCCTCTGCCTCATCATCCTCCTCCTCCTTCTCCTCCTCCTTCTCCTCCTCCTTCTCGTCCTCCATTCCTTTTGCTTGTAGATAATTCCTCCCTGTCGCACCCGAGGCCGGTCGAAAGGGCGGGCCAGGCGTTTGACCTGAGACTTCCTCACCACGTATGACCCTGATGCTTCAAAATTGGCACCAATCAGATGGACGGCGAGTCGTTTTCACGATGTGGCTCTCGCCTCAGCGCCGCGCACAGTCGTCCTGAACATGTGCAAGAGCTTCACGGATCAAGGTCGGGTCGTTTTCAAAGTGTTGCTCTTGCCCCAGCGCCGCGCACATTCGTTTTGAACATGCGCAAGGGCTTCACGGATTGAGGGCGGGTCGTTTTCAAAATGTGGCTCTCGCCTCAGCGCCGCGCACATTCGTCTTAACAATGTACAACGAGAGTTTCACATATTGAGGGCAGTTTCTTTTCAAAATGTGACTCTCGCGTTAGCGCCACGTACATTCGTTTGAAACACTTGCAAGCGCTTCATGGATTGAGGGCGGGTCGTTTTCAACATGTGGCTCGTGCTTTAGCGCCGCGTGCATTCGTTTCCAAACTTTGCAGGGGCTTCACGGATTGAGGGCGGCTCCTTCTCAAAATGTGGCTCTCGCGTGAGCTCGGCGCACCTTCTTCTTAAAAATGTTCAACAAGAGCTTCACGGATTGAAGGCGGGTCGTTTACAAAATGGTGTCCTCGCCTAGCGCCGCGCACTTTCGATGTACAAATGTGCAAGAACTTCACGGATTGAGGGCGGGTCGCTTTCAACATGTGGCTTTCGCTTTAGCGCCACGCACATCCATTTTCAAAACGTGCAACGAGAGTTTCACGGATTGAGGGCGGTTCCTTTCCAACATGTGGCTCTCGCGTGAGCGCCGCGCAACAAGGGATTCACTGTTCTTCATGGCCCACGTACCTGAAATGGCATTTTGGAGAGACTCAGGACTGTCAGGGCGCCACAATTAGTTTGGATTGAAGCGTTGAGCTCCCATGAATGGTGTTCGGACACGATTCTGGATCGCCAGTAGCGTTGAAGTCCTGAGACTTGTGCTTTGACACGTTTCAAGATGCTCACACAGGTGTCCCCCAACGGGACAATTTCCTCATTGGAAATGACCCCTTACAGGGGCCTATGAAGAGGGATCGTGGAGGGAAAGTGTATTCCAGCATCGTTGATGAGTCTTGGGTTAAAACTGGTCCTCCTCCTGCTCCTCCTCCTCCTCCTCCTCCTCCTCCTCCTCCTCCTCCTCCTCCTCCTCCTGCTCATCCTCCTCCCTTCTCCTTCTCCTCCTGATCCATCCTTATCCTCCTCCTCCTCCTCCTCCTCCTCCTCCTCCTCCTCCTCCTCCTCCTCCTCCTCCTCCACGTCCTCGTCTTCCTCCTCCTCCTCCTCCACCTCCGACTCCGCCTCGTTTCTCTCCTCCACCTCCTCCCTGCCTGCGCGACGACGCTCGAGAGCGCCGCCCAGCCGCCCAGCGTGTGCCCAGTGGCGGACACGTGCAGGAAGCCCCACGAGCCGACCTCGGAGTATCCCCGCTGCCACCGCGCCATCCCCCCCACCCCACTTGAATGGGAGGAGGGGGGGAAGCAGGCACGTGAAGGGACCCAGGCATCCGACGATATGCCTTTTCCAATGCGCCGCCCCAGAGATTCTGAGCATTCCGATTGTGCGTTTTCACCCAGGATCCATCTTTGATGGTCTGGGGACCCAATGACCGGCCCCAGAGGCCGAAATCCAAGAAAAACGCCAGGATTGAAAAAAACACATCGTCAGAAAGATCTGGGGATGGGGCAACACAGGAGGAGGAGGAGGAGGAGCAGCAGTGGACTCAGGTAGGAGGAGGAGGAGGAGGAGGAGGAGGAGGAGGAGGAGTAGGAGGAGGAGGAGGAGGAGGGGGGAGGAGGGAGATGTGGGAGGCTGGCTAATCGCTGCTCGCCTTCGTAGGTGTCTGGCGTGAGCTGGCGCGCGTGCTGGGCTCAGCGGTCCGCCGAGGCAGCTCCTCCTCCTCCCCCGCCTGCCCCTCCTTGGCAAGGCTGGCTGCGCCCAGCTCAGACTGGGCTCGAAAATGCCGCAGGAAGAGGAAGTGGGAGGAGGGGGGCAGGAAGAGACGGGCTGCTGCTGCTGAACGTTGGCATGCGCGTTTGCGGTGCTCGAAGGAAGGGACGGGAGGAAGGAGGGAGTGGGAGAGGGGGGATCCCAAGACACCTGGCAAGGTGATCTTTTCGAGCCGCGGCCCCAGAGAGGTCCCGACAACTTCCCTGGGGGCCGTTTCTTTTTCATCCCAAAACAGTTTTGATCGCCCTGGCCCCCGAAAATGGAACGCTGTCGAAGAACAAAAACGAGCTCCGGGACTGAAACGAAACTGCCCGCCAGAGGCCAGAGCTCCCTCCGCGGGAGGGCCAGAAGTCTACTACCCGCGCAAGAATGGTCCCCGGCAAGAGTCACCTTTGATGCGCGGCGGTGGCTGGCAAAGGGGGAGGGGAGCCACAACCACCTCTAAGCCTTGCGTCCGTCTGGTCGCGTGGGCAGACACGCCTGCAAGAGCTCGGGAGCGTTGACACGCCAAATGCGAGCCAAGAAAAACGCGAGACACGCCAAAAACGTGCGGGCACAGGAGGGAGGGAAGCGGAGGAGGACGACGAAGAGAAGATGATGGTGGCGCGACAGGGCAGGGGGAGGGGGGAGCGGAAGGCAAGCCCGCTGCCATCGCTCCGCATGCAGCGAGCGGGGGGGGGGACCCACAGTGGGCCCGCACCAGCGGCCCCTCCAGCGAAAAAGGCCCCTCCTGCACGCAGCCGAGGGGGAGGGTCCGGCGCAGAGCGGAGGGCCCCGGCGACCGCTAGAAGCACCAGGGCGTAGAGGAAGACGGCGAAGTCGAGGGGGACGCGGCCGAACAGGTAGGGCGGCTCCTCGCCCGCGCGCGTGCCGAGGCGCGGCCACGGCGGGCCACCGCGCGGGGAGAGGCGAGTGACTGCCTAGCAGACCACGCCAACCCAACCCGAAGGCCCGAATGTCGGGTTCGGCGGGGTACAGGCTTCATGCAAGTTTCCTCCATGTTCCCCCACCCCCCCCCAGTGGGAATGCAGGCAGGTCGGGGCCTTCAGGTCGGGTTGGGGTGGTTTGGTGGACGGCGAGAGGGGAGGTGCCAAATGCTCGTTCTGGGGACCTTCCCGAGGCCGCCCGCTCCACCCGTGCGCCGATGCTGCGTCGAACGCCCGTCGGCTCGAGCCGAACCTGAGCCGAACCTGAGTCGACCTTGGGCCAAGTGAGGGTCGAGCTGGAGTCGAACGGCTCCCCGAGGTGGGCCCCAACACGGACAGCTGCGAGGAAAAGAGGGGTGCTTGGCGGCACGCACAAGGGGGTATGGGGGAGAGGAGAAGGATGCTTAGAAGGAGGCTGCTTCTACGAAGGGCCGGCCCAACATCTAATTCTAGACAAGGCCCGCGAGCGACGACGACGACGACGACGACGACGGCGACGACGACGACAAAAACGACGACGAAAACGACGACGACGACGACGAAAACGAAGACGATGTGGACGGGGCAGTGGGCAGTGGGCCTGCGGCCACTGGGGCCCCGCCCTGCTCTGGAGGCGGCGTCGTCATCGTTGTCGGACGTCGGGGTGCTTCTAAGAAGCCTCCCCCCTCTGCGCGTGGCCGCGTGGCCGGGGAGGAGGAGGAGAAGGAGGACGAGGAGGAGGAGAAGGAGGAGGAGGGGGATGAGGAGCAGCAGGAGGAGGAGCAGGAGGAGGAGGAGGAGGAGGAGGAGGAGGAGGAGGAGGGGGAGGAGAAGGGGGAGCAAGAGGAGCAGGAGGAGCAGGAGGAGCAGGAGGAGCAGGAGGAGGAGGAGGAGGAGCAGCAGCAGCAGGAAGAGGAGGAGGAGGGAATACACGTGGGTGCCACGTTCTGCTTCCGACCCTCGGTGGATTTCTGCGGGCGCTCCCGTCCACCGCCAGGACCTCCGCGGGGACCTCCGGGTGGAGGGTTTCTCCGAAGGGCTTAGGCGACCCGTCCTCCTCCTCCTCCTCCTCCTCCTCCTCCTCCTCCTCCCCCTCCTCCTCCTCCTCCTCCTCCTCCTCCTCCTCGGGTCGCCTACGGCCCCGGGGGAGATCGTGCACCTCCAGGGTTCCAGATCTCTCAGCGCCCCTTGAAAAGGGGACTCCACTGACGGGCACTTTGGCCAGCGACCTGGCGAACCCGACCCTCCCCGATGTGGACAACGCTGCAATGCCAGAAAGAGGCCCAAAAGTGGCAACTTTCGGCAACTTTCCAAAGTACCTGTGAGTGAGTACCCGTTATACGGTGCCGCTGGACCTCTGGGGCGGCAGCAGAGCTTGCCGGCTCTGGGGTGCCATCGAGGAGCTGGCCCTGTCGGTCTGCGGCCCGGTGAGGCCGGGCGACGTGCGCAGTGCCGACGCACCGACGCCCGTGCGGTCAGCAGGCTCCTCGACGCCTGGGACAAGCTGCAGAGGCACATCGCCGTTGATTCGCGGGGACCGCCGACGGAGCCCTGCGCGCCGCCGCGCTGGTCCAGGGCAGGCGGTGCGGCCCGGCGGAGGGGGGGGGGGGAGCGCGCCGTTGCGAGGACCGGGCGGAGGGAGGCCTCCTCCTTGCTGGCTCGCTCCCTGCAGGCATGAGCCTGCGCCGGTTCGCAGGAACGGGTCCTGCTTATCGTCCTCCTCTTCGTCTTCCTGCTCCTAGGAGGGGAGGAGAGGGGAGGAGACGGGAGGGGGAAGGAAGGACGGGGTGGGAGGGGAGGGGGGAACAGACAAAGGGAGCGGGAGAAGGGCAAGGGACAAGCTGAACGCGCCCGCGCCACATCTGACATCCGACCCCTCCTACCCATCCCTTCCCATTACGCCAACTCTGTCTTTGACCGCCGACGGGTGTCGATGGGAGCCTGGAACCGCCAAACGGAGACCATCGTGTAGGGCGCAATCGGGGAGCGGAGGAGCTGTGCAAATTGGAGGAGCAGGTGGCGGATGAGCTGGAGGAGGAGGCTGAGGAAGCGTACTCCAGACTTCGTAATAAAAGGGAGGGGGTCTCATTTCGGGGGGGTCTCTTCCAGGCTATCTTGGAGGGCCTGGGGGAGTCTGGGGACGATGTTTCGGAGGGTTCTCCCACGGGGGGGGTCTGAAATGGCTTGTCTTGGAGGGTCCAGACCCCCTCCCTTTTATTACGAAGTCTGGAGTACCACAAGCTGAGCCACGAGGGCTGCAAGCTCAGCTGCGAGGGCCACGAGCAGGGCAACGAAGACCACCAGCTGCAGCACGAGGGCCACCAGCTGAGCTGCGAGAGCTACACTCCTCCTCCTCCCGTCCTCCTCCTCCTCCTCCTCCTCCTCCTCCTCCTCTCCTCCTCCTCCTCCTCCTCCTCCTCCTCCTCCTCCTCCTCCAGAGCCACAGGATCCGCCAGAAGGGTCGCCGGGGCCATCCGATGTTCTACGAGAGCGGGCAGCAGAGCCACCGGGGCCCCCAGCTGAGCTGCAACCCCCACGCGCGGAGCTGCGGGAGCCACGTGTTGGGCGTGGATTAATGAGGGGGTCACAAATGGGGGGGTCAGAAAAGGTCCCCTTTCGTGCCCCTTTCGGGCCCCTTCAGAGCCCCAGGGGGCTCGTTTAGGCACCGTTTGGGTACCTTTTCGGACCACGCTCGCCACCCCCCCATTTGTGACCCCCCCATTACGCGGCGCCCAAACGTGCAGGGGTACGGGACCACCGGCTGAGCTGCCAGAGCCATCCGCACTGCCATGAGGGCCGCGAGACGAAGACCAAGGCCCACGGAAGACCTCGACTACCAAAAAGCCGATCGCTATCGGAGACCCGGTGAGGGCAAGCACGGCAGAGAGCACTACGAGCGTACGGCGTTCAATTGAGTCTCCAGAAGTTAAAAGTCCGCTGGGCCGATGATTCGGTGGACAACGTCCCCCGCTACTGCATCCGCAGGAAACCACCAGCAGAGCTAAGAGGGCCACAGGCCGGGCTGCGAAAGCCACAAGCAGGGCTACGAGGACCACTTGCTGAACTACCCAACCATGTGGCCCCATAACAAACAAACAAGAAAACGAGACAGGCCTGCCTGAACCCGGCGAAAATCACGTACGATGACCGCGTTGCGGACAGACTCGTATATAGCTACATCAGATACCACGTCTCTGTCACTGGCGCTGAAGGCATCATCATTTTCATCATCATCAGAATCAGCATCATCATCATCATCATCATCATCATCATCATCATCATCATCATCATCATCATCATCATCATCATCGTCATCATCATCATCATCATCATCATCATCATCATCATCATCATCATCATCAGCATCATCATCATCATCATCATCATCAACAACATAATCGTCAGCATCAGCATCAGCATCATCATCAACATCAGCATCATAAGCAACTTATCAACAGCACATCATCACCACCACCATCACCATCAACATCACCATCATCATCACCCTCCTCTTCATCCTCCTCATCATCCTACTCATCCTCATCATCAGCATCAACATCAGCATCATCAACATCATCATCAGCATCATCATCAACATCATCATCGTCGTCATCATCATCGTCATCATCATCATTCTCATAAGCATAAGTATCATCAACACCAGCATCGCCATCATCACCATGATATAGAACACCGTATGTTTGAGACGTTGTTACTACGTCAGACAAGGTCCTCCATGTACAACGTTAGTGACAAGGTATGATGGCACATATTGCCCTACTGAATGCCCCGCCGCTCTACCAACCTCCTCCCTTTGGTTGAAGGCTTCAGGTGGAGTATGAGTGTGGGTGGCCCCCCCATCCTTTCCTCCACCCCCTCTGGAAAGGGACCGTCCCCGTGTAGCCGTCGCGCCCTTGCGCGCGTGGCCGACGCGGGGGCGTTTGTTTGACGCGTCAGCGGTTGCGAGAGAGGTTGAAGACGGAGGAGGACCAGGAGGAACAGCGGCAGCAGCAGCAGGAGCAGGAGTAGGAGAAGCGGGAGGAGGAGGAGGAGGCCCAGGGGAAGGCTGAGGAGGCGCAAGGAGCGGAGAGACAACGATGAGTGACGACTCGGACGCAGAAGTGGCCAGCGCTGGATCGAGAGCGCCATTCTGAACGACGGGAGCCAGGCGCCATTCCTGAAACGAGGCCCGCGCTGCAGCGGAAGCACAATCCTGAAACCCCTCACCAAATCACCGCTTCGGAACCCGGCGCAGAAGCGAGTGCGCGGACGGGGGCCGCGCTGCTCTCACCTCCCGGGGCCCGCGGCGAAACGGCGGGCACCGACGCGGTCGACAGCCCGCGGGCCGCGGGGCGAGAGAGCCGAGGCGGCGATGCCGCAGGGGCGCAGAGCGAGGAGCGGGCGGGCGGCCTCGGGCACCACCGGAGGGCGGCGCACGGGAAGGTGGGCGGACTCGGTGCCGGCCGCCCGAGGCGAGGGCAGCGCGGCCCCCGCGGAGGAGCATGCCGAGGCGCAGAGGGCGTGCTCTCACGCTCGTCCCTCGGGGGACAGAGAGGGAGCGGAGCGGCAGATTCACATGGAGTCGGTGGGGGGGAGGAGTCGGGCCGCGGGCCGCGAGGAGCGGAGGAGGAGGGCCGAGCGGGGACGGGAAGGACGTGTGCGCCCGGCCACGTGCGTGAGCGTGGCCCCCGAGACCGCGAGGCCAGCCTCGTGTCACGAGCTGTCGCGCAGCGCGTGCGCTCGAGACCCACCACGCGACCTCATGCGCACCTGCATCCTTGCTGTCTGACCCAGATATAGAAAGGAGGCGAGGGGGAGGGGAGGAAGTGGACGGAGCGGAGATGGGCGCAGATTACCCAAACATCCTACGTCGCGATGTGTTCACAACGTGCACCCCCCGAGAAATCTGGACCCATTCCCCAAGACCGACTTCTCATCCTGAGTCGTTCCTGGACAGTCCCGTGGCACGGTGAAGGCCCCAAGAAGCCAAAAACTGCCAGAAACCTCCCGTCGCGACTCCTTCACAGCGCGGGGATGCCAGGGGATAGGGGAAGGAGGGATGAAGACGGGTGGCCAGGAGCGCAAGGCGGCGGCCCGCGCGGTCCGCGTACCCGATGTCCTCCAAATAGCGAAGCTGCTGCACCCGCGCCCTCCTCTCCTCGCCTCGGAGCGCCGATTGGTGCCTCCTCCTCCTCCTCCTCCTCCTCCTCTCTCCTCCTCCTCCTCCTCCTCCTCCTGCTCCTCCTCCCCCTCCTCCTCCTCCTCCTGCTCCTCCTCCTCCTCCTCCTCCTCCCCCTCCTCCCCCTCCTCCCCCTCCTCCTCCCCCTCCTGCCCTCTCTCCGTCGAGCGCTCAACGGTTTCTGCCGTCCGTCGCCTCGCGCTGGAGCGTCTCCGACGGTCTGCTCCGCATTTCCATGCCGATCCTCCGGACGTGCCTCGATGTGTGCGGATTGACCTCGATGTGCCTGAAAAACATCGAATGAACTGGCCTGGTCCCCGCAGGTCGGCCGGAGAAATGTCGTCAGGAAGCCCTTCGGGACCTCTCCCCAAGACCCACGCGCGTCGCGAAAGAATCACAGCGGAGGCGGGACGTCCCCGGCGTCCGTGGGGGGGGCTCACACTGGCCCCAGGGACCGTCAGCAAACGAATCGGGATGAGAAGCCTACACGTCGTTCATTTCTAATCGTGCTCATTTCTAAGTGTGCTCGTTTCTACTTGTTCCCGGCCCCTAGTGGCCAGGAAGAGGCCAAGGACAGAACAACTAGAAGCGAGAGGATCTTGGCCCCCAAAGAATCAAAGCATGTCCGAAGAATTAGACATGAGCAGTGCGTATCTCCAAAACGGGGTCGAGAACTTCGAGCACCGCGCCCGACATCCACACGTTGCCCCGTTCCTGCCCGTCGGCCCGGCACGCGCAGGCCCGACGAGTCCAGGCTCGGGCAGGCTCCGACGACGCTCCTCCTCCTCCTCCTCCTCCTCCTCCTCCTCCTCCTCCTCCTCCTCCCTCTTCCCTCCTCCCTCCTCCCTCCTCCCTCGGTCTGCAAGCCCTACGGGGCCGCGTTAGGGGCGCAGCTCCGCTCAGCTTCGCACTCCAGAGCGGTGGAGGCCGAGCGCGGACGGGCCTGCAGACACAGGGAGAGGCTCCATCCTGTCGCGATTGAACCAAACGTGAACCAAACGAGACTGCACAAGATGCAGTCGCAAGAATGCAACGGCGCCACCGTGCAAAGCGAAACGATGAGTCGACAGTGGGGCACCGCGTGGAAGCTCTCGACTAGGCCATGCTTCCAGGCGGATACGTGCTGCATGAACGACAGACGAAAACGCAAATAGATGACGCGAGCTTGCAATCCCTGAGTTTGTCTCGTGCTGCACACACGTGAAAAACTGAGATCCGATGGGCGGCGGAGGACGACGACCACAAGGACGGAGGAACGGAAAGAGGGAACGCGTCGCCCGCAAAGTGGAGTTGCAATCGCGGGTGGCATGGCGACCCCAGTTCCCAACTTTGCGAAGTGTTCGACTGGGCCAAACAGATGTAGCCGAACTCGGAGACATACGATGCAGGGGCGACCATCCTCGCGAGGGACGCGTCCGAATAGATCCCAGGGGTGTATCCCCAAGTTGCCCTTCCTTTCCGACGGTCGGACGCTCACATGCGCGCCAGGGCGCGGTCCCTCTAGGAGCGGAGTGGTGGCGCCAGCGTTTCGGGGGGGCGGGGACTTCGGGATTGGGACAGGGAGATCCCCTGAGATTGCACGTGTTGCTCACGGCCCCGAATGCCAGCCGACCACCGGCGCGGTTTCCACGGGCACCTGCCCGCGGCACGGCTGCGCGGCAGCACAGGCCGGCACACCGCGGCAGAGAGAGCGCGGGGAGATGAGAGGGGGACCAAAGAAGTGGAAAAAATTAGGCAGCCAATACACTGGCGCGGAGGAGGAGGAGGAGGAGGAGGAGGAGGAGGAGGAGGAGGAGGAGGGGGAGGAGGAGGGGGAGGGGGAGGAGGGAAGAGGGAGGAGGAGGAGGAGGAGGAGGAGGAAGTGGAAGCCATGGGCCCAACAAATGTTGATCTCCCTTGGGGCGCCATGTCTTACTTCCGCCGGCCGTCCGCCGGCGGAGCCGCCCTCGCTCTGCGTTCCGCCGGCTTCCGCCGACCTTCCGGCGCCTTCCGCTGAAAAAAAGATGCACAAAGGCGAGGCATTTTTTTTTTTGGGGGGGGGGGGCAGACTCTCGATACCAAATCCTGCGGCACAGACCCTGGAGGAGGGAGGGAGGGAGGGGGCAGGAAGGAAGGAAGGGGTGAACCTGAGGAGGGAGGAGGGAGAATACTCGTATCGGCGCGTGCACATGGACGGCAGACGGACCGCCCGCCCACGGGCTCGGGTGAGACAGCAACACGGACCGTCTACAAAGGCGAGGCATTTTATGGTCGAGTGCACAACCGCGGCTAACAATACTATAGGGCGGAGCGCACCTAACAAGTGCGGATGCCAAGAAATGAGCCCAGCGCGATCTCGACTGGAGGTCTTCGGCCTTCCAAAGCAATTCAACACAGTTCTGCTGGGCAATGCAAAGCAAGGCAATGCGAAGCACTGCTTGGCATCCAGGAGCCAATTGAAGCCCTCCCAGGGGCCGACCAAGGAGGGCACAACGGGCATTGCCCGAAAGTCCTGGAGGTGGTGGAGCACTGGGGCTGGGGACCAGATATTCATACAGATTCGTTCCCCACATCCTTAGTATTGGATTCTAGTCATTAGTGGGGCGCCTCCGCCTGACCCTCACTCACTCACTCACTCACTCACACTTGGCCCCTTCCCACTCACGCTCATACTCAGACACACTGAGACTCAGAGCACACACACACACACACACGCACACTCAGGTACACTCATACTCAGACTTACTCGTGCCCAGACGCACTTAGACTCAGACCCACATGTACTAAGCTTGCTCATACACAGGTTCGCGCACAAACCACTGACACTCTGAGGATTAACACTCAGACTCACTCAGATTCCGACTCCCGCATATTCATATGTACCTACACTATGTCATAAGCAGACCCACTCGCACTCGGTCCTCTACTCAAAATCCCTCATACTCGGACCGCGGTGTTGCAGGCAGGCACTCAGGCACCCAAAGGGGGAGCCACCAGGGGATCTTACACTTGTCCGCTCGAAACCCAAAACGCGGAGATGTTTCGAGCGAGGATCTTGGTTTGCATATCCAACTCCTCTTCTTCCAGAGCCCCATGATCACCGAGATGTAAGCAGGCATTGCCCTTGGCCACCCCAAGGGGCAACCGCCAAGGAGCATTGCATTTGCCCATTGGTGTCCACGTGGTCGAGATTTCCTCGAGGGAGGTGCTCGCGTTGCACATCCGGCTCCTCTCCTTCCAGAGCCCCACGATCACCGCGGTGTAGCGGGCGGTGCACTTGGGCACCCCAAGGTGAGCCGCCAGGGGGTATTACACATGCCTGCTCGCGCCCAGATTGTGGGGGAGGGTCTCGAGCGAAACGCTTCATGCTGCACCCTCGACTCCTCTCCTTCCAGAGCCCAAGCACAGCACTCGGGCACCCCAGGGGCGAGCCGCCAGGGGAGAATATGTCATGCCCAGACCCTCTTACGCTCAGACCGAGCTGTGCCCGCGCAGCCGTAATCAACCTCAATCACACTCAGCATCGACCATTTCAGACACTCATCGAGAAGGAAGTTACGATCAAGAGATGCACATACAGGGATCCCCGCGACGAATTCTTTGCTAGAAGCGCGCACGCGCGTGCGCTTCGAGCGCTTCGGCCCTTGAACAGGACGGGGCAGGCTCGTCCTGTCAGCGGGGATCAGACGGGGCCAACTCGTGATTGGCGTGCGCAGGCCTCCGAACCACAAATTGACCAGATCTGACTCTCCCATGCTTAAGAGAGCCCATGCGGTAGTCGCCGTGCGGGTGCATGAGAGAACCACGTGATACCGATACCGCTACTCCCTGGACCTCTCCCAGGGGGAGTCCTGACCAAAGTAGCGAGGCGACTCCAGCCGTGGCGCCGAGGGCCTCCCAGGAGGCCCAAGAGGGCGAAAACCAGGGAAGGGTATCGGCACCTTGTCCTCCTCTGGGTGTGAGCGACCACGCCGGCGAAATCACAGGAGGAGGAGGAGGAGGAGGAGGAGGGAGGAGGAGAGGAGGAGGAGGAGGAGGAGAGGAGGAGGAGGAGGAGAGGAGGAGGAGGAGGAGGAGGAGGAGGAGGAGGAGGAGGAGGAGGAGGAGGAGGAGGAGGAGGAGGAGGAGGAGGAGGAGGAGGAGGAGGAGGAGGAGGAGGAGGAGGAGGAGGAGGAGGGAGGAGGAGGAGGAGGAGGAGGAGGAGGGGAGGAGGAGGAGGAGGAGGAGGAGAGGAGGAGGAGGAGGAGGAGGAGGAGGAGGAGGAGGAGGAGGAGGAGGAGGGGGGGGAGGGCAAGCCCTGGGTGGCTCCGAGGCCGACGCCGTCGTTGCGGACGAGGCGCTGCTGGAGCCGGCAGGCCCCCTGCCAGACCACCTCGGGGCAGGGCAGGGCGACCAGGGGGGACGAGCAGCGCAAAGCCAGCAGCGGAGGGAGGGGCGGAGGGAGGAGGAGGAGGAGGAGGAGGAGGAGGAGCAGGAGGAGGAGGAGGAGCAGGAGGAGGAGGAGGAGGAGGAGGAGGAGGAGGAGGGGAGGAGGAGGAGGAGGGAGGATGCCCTTGAGGTTTCCTGGCAGCCGCAAGGCCGAAGCCGGGTGGGAAAGGGAAAGGAAGAGAGAAGAGGAGGAGGAGCACCAAGGGGGAGAAGGACGGGGAGCGCGCCCAGACGGCGGCCACCAGCCCACCCTCGACCTGGCACCCCAGGGATCTCGGATCAGCGGCCGCCGCCGCCGCCTCGGCTGAGCAAGAGGAGAGCTTGACAGGGAGGGGCAGAGAGGGGGAGGGAAAGGGGGGAGAGGCAAGGCGAAAGGAGAGAGTAAGTGAAGGGGAACGGCAGCGCCGGCAGTGGGGCACCGCGGGGCCACGGGATCTCCAGAGAAAGAAAGGAAGGAGGAGGAGGAGGAGAAGAAGAAGAAGGATAATGAGAAGGAGAAGGCGAGGTCGAAGGAAACAGGAGAAGGAGGTGGAGGAGGAGGAGAAGGAGAAGAGGGAAAGGAAGAGGATGAAGAGGAGAAGAAGAAGAAGAGATAAAAAAGAAAAGGAGCCACGGGAGGGCCCAAAGGGTGGATGCTGCCCACAGCACCTTCTGTGCGGTGGCTGGCGCATGGCGCTCCGCTCGAAACGGCCGCGTATGGCCGGGGCCGAAACGCAGCATCCGACCTCTACTTCTACGTCGTCGTCGTCGTCGAAGTCGTCGCTCTCATCGCGCAAAGGGTTTTGCAGGCAACACCCCCTCGAGCCTGTGCTGCGAGCACCAGCGTCCACAGGAAGTAGAAGTTCAGGGCCATGTAGGCCAGGGCAGCCCCAACGGTAAGCACTTTCGTGTCCGTGGAGAGCGTGCTGAATGCGAGCATGGTGCCTGTGGAAAGGGGGGGGAGAGGTGGACTTTGAACCCCCACCCCCCTCGTAGCCCGCAGCGCTGGTGGGGGCGCCGAGCCCCCGTGATGAGTGGAAGGGTGAGACAGAAAGAAAGAAATAGAGGGAGAGAAAGACAGAAAGAGGCAAAGAGAGAGAGAGAGAGAACGAGAGAGAGAGAGAGAAAGAAAGAAAGAACACATAACAAAGAAAACAAAACAAATAGCAATGAGAGAGACGGCAAAGGAGAAGCAGTGATATATACATCTCTGTATGTGTCCGTGTGTATAAACAAAAATAAAAGCAGCTATTAATGGAACGATGTGCGTTCATACATATATAAAGCGAGCGAGGGAGACAAAGGCAAGACATGCAATGTGCACACATACACATATATATACACAAATACACATATATATATATATATATATCATTATGCCATGACGACATAGATACGTGTGTATATGCGTGTGTAAAGAACATATAGAGAGAAGGACAAAGACATCTCGAGAGAGAGAGAGCGTGAGAGAAAGATCGAGAGAGGGGGAGAGAGAGAGAGAGAGAGAGAGAGAGAAAGCGAGAGCGACAGCGAGAGCGAAAACGAAAGCGACAGCGAAAGCGAGAGAGAGAGGGAGAGTGAGAGGGAAAGGGACAGAGAGAAGGGGCCCAGCCGCGCCTAGCCAGGGGGCAAGGACGACGGTCACCAGGAGGCGCCAGGGCACGAGCGCGAGCACGCAGAGGCTCGACGTTTCGGGGTCCTGGATCCTGCGCCGGCGGAGCGGAAGGGCAGCGGCGAGGAAGGGCGAGCTTGCCCAGCGCCTGCTCATCATGCTCGCGTTCGCCCTCCTTCCGCCAACCCCTCCGCTTCCACCTACTCCTCCTCTTCCTCAACGTCCTCCTCCTCCTCGTGTTCCTCCTCCTCCTCCCCCTTTTCCTCCTCGGCCCCGTCATTATCCGCATTATTTCCCTCCGCATCATCATTCCATCGTGCACATCATCATCAGTATGACCACGATCACCATCAACACCATTACATACATCATCAGCATAATCATAACCACCCTCTTCATCATCATCTTCATAATCCTCTTCGTAATCGTATTCACCATCCCCTTCGCCATCATTATCTTCACCACCACCATCATCATCATTATCGCAATCCTCCGCTTCCTCACCATTACCCTTTATCAGCAACATCATCACCATCACCATCACCATCGGCAACATCATCAACATCCCCATCAGCAGCATCAGCTTCAGCATCAGCATCAGGATCAGTTTCAGCTTCAGCTTCAGCATCACCATAGCGATGTCCGACGCTCGCTGCCCGAAGCACCACATGCGCGAAGTTTGCGAGGAAAGGCTGGCCACAGGGCGGCCTGAGCTGCAGGGCGCAGCGGCATCGTCCCTGCCGCGCTGAGCGAGCTCCCGACCTTTTCAAGCGCTGTTCGCTAGGATGTGGGAAGGGCGAGAAAACTGCAGATCACTTCCTCCTACTATCATAGCCACCGTGCTCACATGATCTCCGACACTCGTTTTCCGAAGCACCCGAGGGGTGACGTTCGCGAGGAAAGGCTGGCCACAGGGCGGCCGGGCGGCAGGGGCTGCAGTGCGCAGCGGCATTGCCTCTGCCGCGCTGCTTCACAGACAGAGAGCTCTCAGTCTGTCCCAACCGTACCATTACTGCCACGTGTGAATACGCGTCTTGCCCCATTGGCGCGTTGGTGGCATGGTCTATCTGATGCGAGTAGGACAAATTGCTGGACTCGTTGTCGGCGCGCCCATCTGGAGATAGCAACGCATTGACCCACGGCACTGTGCAGGCCCTGATTCTGAGATGAGCGGAAATGACGGACGGCCCCGCCTCCCCGCGGCGACCCAAGCGCGCGGCGAGCCGCCGATGCCGACGAGGCCCTCGAGGTAGATGAACCTTTCGGCCAGCAAACGTAGCTGCCCTGGGCGCGACGACGCCGTCGGGGGAAGGGGGCCGAAACCGCGCCCGATCAAGTTCAGCAGCGCAGGACCATCGATCAGGACGCTCTGAAATGTTGGCTTTCGGTCTAATGTCTTAGCAGAGAGCAGCACGAGCGCGCCTGCGTTGACGTCTCCTCCCAGGTTACCGGGCGCGACGAGGCGCTGCCCGAAGGCATTCGAGACCTCGCTGGGACGCAACAGCAAGTGGAAGGCGAGGAGGAGGCACGCTGCTGCCCCGTCCCATCTCCGAGTCTGGGCAGCCACGGACAGGGCCAGGAGCACCTCCACAGGCACGGGCGTCCGCATTTCGACCGGCTCGAGGTTGCGACAGCGAGCCAACGCGGCCCGCGCAAGGCGAAGTTGGCCGCGGGTCTGCCTCCACCGGAGCTGAACGCTTACGAAAGTCCCCAGGAGCACAGTTTTCGCGTCGCAGAGGCGCTGAGCGTAGGCGACGAGGGTGGCGTTCAGCAGCTCGACGTCACGAACGACGTCGCCGGGCGGGGTAGGCCGCGGTCCTGGAGCCAGCGGCCCCACTCATCAAGCACGTTGATGCGCCGACGGGCAGCCGCAAGCTTGACTGTCACTCGCAGGCCCCGCCCGCCCCGCGAGGTGGCCCGGCGCGAGAGCGAGTTTCGATGCCCGGGGGGGGCCTGCCCTGGACACCCCGGCCAGCTGCAGGAGATCCCCAGGAGCATCAGCAGCGCGGCGAGCGGCAGCACGCGTCGAGCTACTCGACCACCGCCTCGCAACACTCGCAGGAGTACTCCGACGCCACTTCCGTCAGACGCCGCCAAACGCTGCCGTCGCACCGGGCGCGGCCATCCAGGGCGAGGCGCCGGCGGCTGGAGTCGCGCCGCCTCGCCAGCGGGGGCGGGAACGCCCACCGCCATTTCCGGGTGGCGGTCTCTCGCCGGCGACTGCGCCACACTCGCCAGCCCGCGACTCGCTCGCAGGGCGGGCAGCCCGCGACTCGCTCGCAGGGCGGGCGCGCGCTGAGGGCCTCTTGGAGCTCCAGGAGCGCCCGCCGAAGAGATTGCCGGGGCTGCCCCCAAGCCCATAGCGAGCCGACGCGGTCGAAGGCCTTCACGAGATCCAGCCCGGCCCCCGCGCACCCGCTGCTAAGGACCTCCCCGGGGCGCCCCCGCGGCCCCCGCGGCCGCCGGCGCGCCCGGGCGGATCGCGAGCACAAGTTCATGAACCGCGAGGAGGTTCCGCAGGGAGGCCCCAGCAAGGCCGCCACTGGCCTGGCCCTCCCGATGAGCTCGATCTCCAGGAAGAACACGTCGGGGCCGGTGAGCTCCTCGAGAAGTCCCCGTTGCACGTCGCGACTCATGCAAGATGATCCACATCCACCCGAGGCGCTCCAGGGCTGCGCTCTGGGGGGCCTCTGGCCCTTCGCAGGCGTCGCAGAGGACAGGCGGCCGGCGCCCGAAGACTGAGCGACGCACGAGCGCGGCCCAGTCCGAGAGCTTCTCGGCGACGGCGATGGACTCCACAACCTCAGGAAGAAGCGGCCTGGCCTCGCACATCTCCGCACCTCGTTGGCCATCTGCGGGATTGCGAGCACTTCGTACCCAGATGAAGGAGGGAGCACCCTGCGAACAGCCAACACGGGAGAGTCGCGGGGAAAATCCTGTTCGGGATCCTGATGGACAAAGGCCCTCGGACAACAACGCCATGTACAACCAACCTGCGAGTCTACGAGCACTGGAACGCGAATGCCATTCAAATTTGGGCTCTCGGCCGCCCCCTTGATCAGCGATCTAGGGGCCACGGCCCTCCGCGCGTCAATGCGGCGCCGCGCCGAAAACCCATGGCTCAGCAGGGCTGCGAACAGCGTGGACACCCAGCCATATGCAGTTGCGCGCACCGTCGTTGCATGCGACGCATCCGGAGGAGCTCTCTGTAGGGCCACGAAACGTGCGAGGGGCATGCCAAAGACTATGCCGTGGGGGCATGCGAAAGCAGCCACTGTGGCAGTCGGTGGAATTCCCGCTGGGGCCACGAAGCGCGTGCGGGGTGTACCCAAATAAGCGCGGTGGGCGCATGCGAATGTAGCCACTGTGGCGGACGTGGAGCAGCCACCATGCGGACGGCGCCAATGGGCCCCTGCGTGGAGCTCCCCATGGGGCCACGGAACGTGCGAGGGGTGCGCCGAAATGAGCGGCGCCGCCATGCGGACGGCGCCACTGGGGCCTTAGGTATGGGGCGGCGGCGCCATGCGGACGCGCCACTGGAACCTTGGGTGGGGCTCCCCATAGGGCCACGAAACGTGTGAAGGGGTGTGCCGAAAAGGGCGGCACCGCTATGCGGACGGCGCCACTGGGACCTCAGGTGGAGCTGCCGATGTGGCAACGAAACGCACGAGGGGCGTGCCGAAATCAAGCGGCGGCGCCAAGCGGACACACCGCCTGGCCCCTTGAGTAGAGCTTCCCAGGAGACCATGAAACTTGTGGGGGGCGCGCCGAAATGGGCGGCGCCGCCAGCGGACGGTGCCCCATCCAGGAACGCTGGAAGGGATTGCCACGAACCCGCTCGCCCAGGACTTCGAGAGGCTCGTCGGGGTCTGGGGGGCCAAAACGGATTAAGCCTCACCGCGCCCGTCCGCCCAGGACCTCGCGCCCACGGCAAGACCGCCCCCCCACGTTGAGCGGCGCCGACGCGACTCCCCTGGCGGAGAGGGCGGCGTCCGAGGCGAAGACCTGCTCGGCCACAGTTGAGTCGAGCGAACACCTGAGCAACGGGAACAGGAGGAACAATCCAATCAGCTCGTCGATCACCGCTCAGAAGCCAGCGCCACGCTGTGGGGCCTACCCCAGGCACATGAAGCCACGCGTAGATCTTGTCCACGAGGCACATGGCGGTCCAGCGAAACATCAGACGGTGGACGCAGCAGCCGACCAGCCTCCTCATGCGCGCGACCGACGCGGCACCTCCTCCAGACGACGGCGCGCAGCTGATCCAGGGTCGCCGTCTCCTCTTTTCTCTCGATGCCAACACGATCGCATGCCTGGTGCCCACGCGGACGCGCTGAAGCTGTCTGATCAGATTAGATGCGCTGGGGCCATCGCTTGGCCCGATGACCACGCGGCCATCGGAGTAGACACACTCGACGACTCGGTCCGAGGGAGGGGCCCGACGATAGGCGAGCCATCCCTCGTCGCGGAGACACCCCGAAGATCGTAGGCAACGGCGGCGCACGATCCGAGCCGCCCCTGAAGCCTCCTGGCCCCCCATGGCAGGCGGGGCTAGGGCCAGCGCGACCCTGTCACGGCCTCGCCGGCGGAGGTAGTCAACCTCGTAGAAGAGCCCCGGCACCGGCATCTCGTCGGCCCTGCGGTCGCGGTCGAGAACGGCCCCCTGGGCCTGGGCGCCTGGCCACTGCAGGGGGCAGAAGGAATCCTCGGGGGGAACAGCTCCGCGAACTGCGAGGCGCGGGGGAGGGGTGGCGAGACGCCCGGCGCAGGCGCATCGGCTGCTGCGGATCTCTGAGACGAACGCTTACTCGCGGAGGACCTCCTTCAGGGACTTCTCGAGGGAGCTGCGCCGACGCCAGTCGATGGCCACCCTCAGCCCGCGGTCGCCCTTCTTCTCCGCGCCGAAGAGCCCGGCAGGAGCGGGGAGGCCCGCGCGTCGTTGGAAACTCTCCGGCCGCGCGAGCCGCAGAGTCCGCGCGCCCCAGGCGCGCGCGGCCACCGCGGCCTAGTGGCCCACGCGCACGCACATTGGTGGGCGACTCGGCTCGAGGTCGAAGGCGCGCGGCGCGCGGAAGATGAAGCCGCGCTCGGGCGGCGCGACGGGCCTCCGGGGCGTGACCGTCGCCCCCTCGGACAGGATGCCGAGGTTGTCTGCGGCGAGGGTGAGAAGCGCCACCAAGTGCGCGCTGCCCCCCAAGCACGAACCGCCCGCGAGCCCAGTCACGGCACGATGGGCGCCAGACACGCCGCAGGTCAGGACCAGCACCGATTCCTCGACGCGGCAACATAAGACAAATGCGTCGAAAGGCCGGCACACCAGCTGCTCGGTCGGGGGCGCGACGAAACAGGGCGCCATCGCCCCACCCGCAGGGCGCCCGAGCGAGAGCCGGGAGAGACAGGCGACGGACACGCTGACCCAGCGCAGCTGGCTGCTCTCCCGAAGCCACCGCGCGCGTCTTTGCGGCGACCGCGGCGCAGCCCCACTCTGAGGCCAATCGCAAAGATGCGCACAAGGAAGGCGCAGCTCTGGACAAGGCCCAAGGGCGCACTAGCCCGTCGGGGTGAACCTGAAGACCCCCGCCTCGAGTCTCGAGGAAGGCGCGGACGAGTCGGCAGGCCGGCCCAGGAAGAACGCGCGCAGATCATCGCGTCAAAGTCGGCCCCCGAAGTCGGAGTCGAAGGCGTAGACGATAAAAGCCCCACCCCCGAGGTGACCCCACTCGGCTTTTCCATGAGCTCTCGTGCCCATCCGGAGAGAATCGCTCGCCTCCCCCGCCACCGCGGCCTCGGTCCTGCTCCTTCTTCCTGGTCCACTTCGTGGATTCCTCGCCCCAGACACGGCCCTGGCCGCCGCGGCCCTCGCCGACGCCCCCGCCCCCCCCACTCGAGGACGTTCTCGAGAGCCTCTGTCTCGCGCGAGTAAGCGAATGAGGCGGCGAACTCCGCGGGGCGCGCCGGGCCTCTCGACGCCTGACCTGCTGCGGGCCGAGGGTCCGGAATACCCGCGATCAACCAGGCCTGCCTCCAGGAGCCGTTCGCGCGCCAGGCCGCCCAGCCTCCGGGGGCCTGTCGCACCCACTGACTGCAGCGTGGCCGTCAAGAACTGAGCGATCGGGCCGCCGAGGGGGTCGCACTGCTGGGACCTGTGGAGCGCACGCAGAGACGGCAGCATCTCCCAGGAGCGCCCGTGGTCCTCGAGGCGCCCGAATCTGATCCTCGGCCCGCCGCAAAGCGTCACGCCCCGCGGAAGCCGTCGGCGTCGCAGCCGAGCTGGCCGAAGGCCGCGGCGTCGACGCGGGCGGACCAGTTCTGTGGCTCGCGCTCGATGGCCCTGTTGAGCGCTAGGAGACCCGCGGTGCATTTTGCCCCTTTGATCCTGGCCACCAGGCCCGCCCCCCCAGAGCTCGAGGCTGCGTCTTCCAAAAAAGAAATCGCCCAGATGGGCTCGCCCTCCTTCACCTTGGGGCCGCCGACCTTCTCCAGCGCCCGCGGCATCGCCAGCTGGATAGCTTTGTCCGCGTCGCGGCTGCCTGCCACGACGAGAGCCCCGAGGCCGAAGTCGGCCTTGCTTTCTGGAGCCGCGCGGGCGACCTGCTCGCGCGCGGGGGGGGGGGGGGGGGCGCTGGCCCGCCAGAGTAGCCCGCGCGCCGTCGCCGGGATCTCCTCTGCTGCCCTGTTCTGGGCAGGCGCAGGGGCGGGCCGCTGCCCCAGCAAATGCGCCGTCGCCCTGGGCGGCGTTGCAGGCGAGCTATGAAAGGGGGGCCAGCCCGGGACGAAGGGGGCATGCGCCAGCACGCCCAGGGCGAGCCTGGCCTGGAGAAGCGACCCGGGAGCGGAAGGTAGCGCTGCCACAGAAGCGAGGCCACGGTCATCCACGCTTCTCCTCTCTATCTGGTCGATTATGCTTGAGATCTGCTGGCCGCCGATGGCGTCCGGCAGCTCGCTCTCGAAGTTCCCGCGGGCGCTCTGAGGGTCGCCGCCGGCCCCTGCCTCACCGCGGGCCTCTCCGCGGGGGCGGCCAGCGGCAGAATCAACCGTTGAAGGGGGGCGCCTGGGGGGTGGGACCACGCGCCCCCGAGGACCGTCAGGAGCCTTCCTCCTCCGTGCCCGGGCTGCCAGCCACGCAGGTGCCACGCGGGCGACCTGCCCACTCCAGCGCGGCAGCTTCGCGGACTACGTTGACCTCGTCGCCCCTTGCGCCCTCGCCATCGTGCACGTCGGCGGTGAGGTACCTTTCCCCCTCGATCTGCCCGTCGACGGAGAGCTTGAAGCCAACGCGCCTCGGGTCGCCCCGCGCAGCGGGATCAGGGAACAGGACGGACCGCAGCAGGACCCCGATGTTCCAATCCTCGGGCTGCGGGACGAGCTCGGCCAGCTCGAGCAATTCTGGCTGGGCAGAGCCGCCTGCCGAGCAGAAGAACTCGATTACTCATCCCCGGCACAGCTCTCGGCCAGCCCCCCAAGGAATCCGGGCGAGACCTTCATGCCATGCAGGTAACATCCGCGGGCATCTCCTCGCCGAGGGCTGACCGCAGCGCCACCGAGACATAATCCACCGAGGCAAGCCACCCGGCATCGCACGGGAGACAGACGGCGGGCACCACAATCAGGAGCTTCTCCAGCTCGAGGTTGCGCAAGTCGTCCTCGGTGAAGCCGTCGACCGGGACGGGGCCGTCGAGCTTCACGAACTTGGCACCGACGACACGGGCCTCACACCAATCCGCAGTGCTGGCGGCGCGGGCTCCTGCCATCGGCATCTCGAGGACCCATGAACGCAGCAGGACGTCCCCCTTCTGCTGCAGCGCTCCTGCAGGCAGCATCGTCATCACGCCTTTGCCCTGTCAGAGACCCTGACTGTGATCGGCAAGGTGAGGTCTTGCGGTTCGGAAAGGAACTTGTCGATCGCCTCGCCCGCCGAGGGAAACCGACGCAGGCGATCGCGCCCGCTGGTGTACTTGCCGTCCCCAAACCTGGCCACGATCGCTTGCCACGCGATCGCGCCTCCCTTGTGCACACCCCCGAAGTCCTCACTGGAACCAGGGGCTGCCCAGACCGCGTAGCAGTGGTTGCCTGCGGCAGCTTTGGCCCGAACCACGCGTCCGGCACCTGCCGCCCCACTGGGCGGCCTGCAATGGGTGCTCTCTGGGATGACAACCCAGGGCACAGCCTCTAGGTCCGCCGCCGATTCAAAGGCTGCCGGAGCGGGCCTCGAGTTGGCCCCGAATCCAGGGGCAGGCTCGTGGACAGCCCGCGCCCTGGCCGCGGGGCCTCCACACATCAACCGCGGGCGCGCCTGGCGCGTAGCGCGTAGCGGACTCGGTCCAAGAAAGCTGCTGGTCACTTCCTTCTGCTGTCGTAACCGCTGTGCTCACCTCATCATAAGCATCAGCATCGTCATCATCATCATCATCATCATCATCATCATCATCACCATCATCATCATCATCATCATCATCATCATCATCATCATCATCATCATCATCATCATCATCATCATCATCATCATCATCATCATCTTCATCATCATCATCATCAGCAGCAGCAGCAGCAGCAGGCAGCAGCATTCGGCAGCAGCAGCATCCTCGGCATCAGCATCAGCATCAGCATCAGCATCATCAGCATCATCAGCATCATCATCATCATCATCATCATCCTCATCATCAGCAGCATCATCATCAGCATCATCATCATCATCAGAAGCAGCAGCAGTATGATCATCAGCATCATCAGCAGCAGCACAAGTTCCAGCATCAGCAGCACCACCATCAGCATCATCATCATCAGCAGCATCATCGTCGTCAGCAGCAGCAGCATCATTAGCATCAGCATCAGCATCATCATCATCATCATCATCATCATCATCATCATCATGATCAACATCAACATCATCAGCATCAGGAGCAGCAGCATCTCCGTGGTCGTCATGAGCAACAACAGCATGCATGATCATCATCAGCAGCAGCATCATCAACATCATCATCATCGTCATCTTCATCGTCACCCTCATCCTCAGCATCATCAGCAGCATAACCATCATCCATCATCATCGTCATCGTCATCCTCAGCGTCATCATCATCATCATCAGCATCATCATCACCATCATCATCAGCATCATCACCAGTATCAGCATCTTCATCATCAGCAGCAGCATCGGGAGCAGCAGCATCTCCATGGTCGTCATGAGAAACAACAGCATGCATCATCAGCAGCAGCATCAGCATCAACATCATCAGCATCATCATCATCAACGTCATCAGCATCGTCACCCTCATCCTCAGCATCATCAGGAGCATCATCATAATCCATCATCATCGTCATCATCATCAGCGTCATCATCATCATCATCATCATCATCATCATCATCATCATCATCATCATCATCATCATCACCATCACCATCACCATCACCATCATCAGCAGCAGCAGCATCATCGTCAGCATCATCCTGCAAGGCGCCAGCAGGGCTCAAGCCACGTGGCCAGGGCGCCCAGCGCCTCCTGGTGCCGCCTTGCGGTACACGGCGGCGAAGCAAACAATTGTTCCCCAATCATTAGTCCTCACGTGTTGCAAGCGATTCGCTGGCAGCTCTGGATTTTCGCCCGTTGGCCGCCTGTGGCCCCTCAATGGCCGCCCCGTACTGGCTGGGACTCCTGGGGATTCGCCAAGTAGCCGCTCATGGCCACCTCGTGGCTGTCGCGTGCGCTGGCTGGCGTATCCAGATTGTCGCCCAGCCGCCTCGCGGGTGAATGCGCAGACGGATGGATGAAGCGTGAGTCTGGAGACATGCAGATCACATGTGAAGCAGCCCCTTCCTCAAACCTCCCGGGCGACAGGCCGATCGTGTAGGCATTTTCTCTCGGGACCGACGTGCGAATCGCCCGCCGCGACCGGGCAGTCGCCCGTCTGCGGCACGACGCCCCAGCAGGCGAGGCAATAGAACGGCTCGCCCCCAAGCACCTGTAGAAGAAGAAAAAAAGTGCAAGCGTAAACTCTCGAAGGTCCGCTCGGATTTCCTGGCTCTGCCATGGACCCCCTGGCGGCGCCTCCAGCGCCAATCCTGGCGCGCTCCGCGCGCCAAGGAGGGGGGTCCAGCGCTGATCCGAGAAACCCGAGGGGACATCCGAAAGTCTCTGTTTCTGCCATTTCGTCTTGCTTCGAGCCTGGTGGAACGTCTGGCGGCTCCACCACAGGAACAGGTGCCCTGGCCGGATGCCGAAGGACAGAGACTTCTCGCCGTCCTTGGTACGCAGCAGCAGGGTCGCGGGCGGGCCTGGCACCTCCTCGGAGGTGGGCACGAAGAGCCGGAACGAGACCTCGCGGCGGTTGTCTGGCAGCAGGCCCCCGTTGTCGACCTCTGGCCCGCCCGATGACCTGCACTCCCGAAAGCGCGAAACTCTTATCTCTGTGAGGACCTCGAGGTCCTCTTTCGGGGAGAGGCAGGACTCGGGTCAGGGAGACTCGGCTTGGCCCGACTGGGCCACCACGACGTCGGCGCGACCCGGTCTGAAACCTGGCGCGAGCTCTCCCGCTGCACACCATCCCACGAAAACTGGGCCGTCAAAACCCAGGACGCGCTCGGCAGAAAACGTCCGCAGACCCGAGTTCCGGCGCACTCTTGGAGGCCTGGAAATGGGCACCGACACCAACACAGGGGGCTGCCTTCACAGGGGGAAGGTGATCCTAGATTTCGGTGTTGGTGGCAATATTTCGGCCACCTTGGAAGCCAGAAAATTACCACCATCACCGAGATCGGGATCTTCTTCCCTCGGTGGAGGAACACCGCCGATCTTGGTGTTGGTGTCAACCTCTAGGCCTGCGACACTGGAGTCTTACCCTTCCCCGACTTGTTCGGGAGGAGCCAGCTGACCACCTCACCGATCCCGGTCCGGCGGACCACGTGCCCAGGATCGGCGCCTGCGCCTCCCTGGCCAAGCCAGGAGGGCGTGGGCACCGACCCAAGTCAGGCTCCTCCTCCTCCTCCTCCTCCTCCTCCTCCTCCTCCTCCTCCTCCTCCTCCTCCTCCTCCTCCTCCTCCTCCTCCTCCTCCTCCTCATCCTCCGCCTGGGTGGGCCCAAGATGGGCGGGGCCAGGATCGTTCGGTGGCAGCTCATGGGAGCCTCCCGCCCCATCTTGTCGGCTCACGGTAATCGACGCTGCATCGACGCGGATCGACGCTGAATCGGCTCAAGTCAACGCTAGCCGACGCCAAATCGGCGCCATCTCATCGACTCCCAGACGCTACAGAACGAATTGCGAGGGCATACGAGGCTCCCGTGGTTTACTACCGAAGGACCGGTGAGGTGGTCACTTGGCGTACAGTCGGGGCGTTGACCTAAGGAACCCTAAATAAGGAACGAGGCTCTTTTTCCCCAGAAGTGAAACTTCGACTTCCCATCGAAAACCAATGGAAAACCTGAGGCAAGCTGTGAAGCAATCAAGGAACACGGAGCCCCTCCCCAACGAAAAGGGTTCCTTCTTCAGGGCCCCGACTGCACCCCGATCCTTGATGCCGAAGGCGCGGAACACTTCCGCCGTCAGGGCGCCGAACAGCCCCCACGGCTTCACGAACGCCTGGCCGTCCATGTTGCACCCCTTTGGAGCACCCTGCCACCGATCCCCCTCCCCACTGGCACGGCCTTGGCCCCGCTGGCCGACGCACCCCCTCTGGGGGGGGATACACTTTTTTGGTTCGCGGGCCGAGAGCGCACCTCCTCCGGTCGAAGCCAAGCGGGCCGCGCGCAGCTTGAAGCAACCATTGAGGGGGAGGACAGGGGGAGGGCGCAGCCTCAGAGCGAGGCCGCTTCGTCGTCGTCGTCGGCTTCGGCGTCGTCGTTGTGTTCGTCGTCGGCGTCGTCGTCGTCGGCGTCTCGTCGTCGGGAGGAGGCAAAGCCTCGGGATCAGGCGGTGCCGAAGTCGACGCACTCGCAGAGGCGCGCCTTTTCCAGGAACCCGGGGGGGGGGGGGGGGCACACGCCGCTCCCTTTGGGCTTCGCGGGACCCGCCCCCCACCTGGAGGTAGGGGGGGGGGGGGCCCTGGTGGGGCTCGCGAGCACCATGGGCCGTGGCCCAATTTGGCGGCGCGCAAAAGGGGGTGGAGGGAGGGGGGAGGGCTTCTCAGAAGCACCCTGCTTCCTGGGAGGCCTCGGCCTCACGTCTATAAGCGAGGGCCCCCGCGCCTTCTGAGAAGCAGGGGTGCGTCTGAGAAGCCTTCCCCCCTCCCCCTGACCCCCTCTGCGCGTTGCCGACCAATGAGGGTGGGGATGCGCTAGACGATGCTGACCTTGACCGTCACCGAGCTTCGCTCGCCGAGGGCGGCCTCGCAGGCCCCGGCGAGCACCGACCAGAGGCCGCCCGCGCCGGCGCCGAGGGGCAGCACGGCGGCACCGTTCTGTCCGAGCTCGGCCTCGCTGGCGTCCCACAGCTCTCGGACTGGGCGCATCGGCCTCGGCCTGACGCAGCCCCCCACGGCCGCCAACTCCACCCGTGCCTCAATGACGAAAAGAAAATCAGCATCGTCCCTAGATGTTCAAGGGCCCGCGCGGACTTCTCGGATCGGCACTGGCCCGCCTGGCGCCGCCACTGGCGCGCTCCGCGCGTCAGGGAGGGGGGTCAAAGAGACCCGCGCGGACCTTCGAAAAAATGTATGCTGATGCTGCAGTACACGTCGCTCAGTTCTAATCGTGCTCACTTTAAGTGCGGTGGTTCCTAATTGTTCCTGGCCCCCTAAGTGGCCAGGAAGAGGCCCAGGATAGAACAATTAGAAATGAAAAGATCTTGGCGCCCCCAGAAAAACAAATAACTTTCGAAGAATCAGACATGAACAATGTGTATGCTGATGCTGCAGTAGTTTCTCCTTCGAGCCTCGGCTGCCGCGCGCCCCAGCGCGGCGAGGAGCTCGCGCTCCTGGCCGTCCACCTCCTGTGGAGGGGAAGAGCACGAGGAGCACGCTCAGGAATGGCCAGGGAGACTTCGCTGTCGAGCCTGGCCACCGCCCATCCTGGTCATCGTCACTTCGTGGACCCTCCCCGCGAATCGGCGACGCCCAGAATGGACCGCGACCAAGGTACACCCTGCGAAATGCTTAAGAAATCATGGGTTAAGAAATTCAGAGTCTCAGAACTGGAATAAAAACCCAGAATTTCTATTCAAATCTTAGGATTTACATTTGAAACGTTAAGAATAATCGAGACTCTGGCCGAAAATTCAAGTTTTCGTAAGCATCGCCTAAGGTGTAGGCGTCGACAAGATCCAGCGGCATCAGCAGCTCCTCGTCGTCCGGTGTTCGGGTCATGCCTCGGGTCTCGGGCGGGGGGCCCGGGCCGACCTTGGGCACCCCGGGAGCGCTTTTTCCGCGAGGCGCAGCCGCTCGGAAGGCATCCTGAGGCGGGCAAAGCCTCCGAGAACCCCATCAAGACACCCGGGGACCTCCAACTCCCCAGACCCCCTCGAGTAATGAAAAAATCACAACGGGAGGTTTTTCCTACTTTTCGGCCTCTGGGGGCCCTCACCGGGCCTCGGGAGCGTCAAAAAACGACTCAGGATGCAAAGCCGGTCATGGGGAAAGGGTCGGGACCTCTGGGGGTCGACGTAATGAAAAAATCATTACGTCGGGGGTCTGGGTCCGCACCCCCTGAGCCCCAAGCCCCCCCCTTCGAACCCGCCGGCTTCCCTCGATCCTGCCACCAGGCCATCGCGACCCCCATCACCGCCCGGTACACGCGCGAGTCCCTCGGGTCGGGCAGCACCGCGCGGGCCACGTGCTCCTGCAGCTCCGCCACGGTGGGCAGCGGCGGGCTCGGCCTGGCGCCGCGCGAGGCCGCGGGCTCCTGCGCGGCGCACGCCAGCCCCGCCGCCGCCGCGCACGCGGCCTGCCGCTGGCGGAGGTCGGCCACGGCGCGGGCGTCCGCGCCCCCGGCGTCCACGGCGGCCTCGATCGCCTTGCCGAGGAGCATCCAGGCCTCGCAGTGCCTGGCGCGGGCCTCGCAGGCCTCCGCGAGCAGAGCGTAGCGAACCTCGCGGGGGGACCGCGGCCAGGGGGGCCCTGCCGCGCCGCTGGGTCGCTGCGGGTCCGCCCGCAGGAGGATGCCGAGCTCCACCTGCGACCGGACCGTCTCCTCCGAGCTGCACACGCACATCGTCTCGTAGAGCTCTCGCGCCTCGACCAGGCGGCCCTCGCGCTGCAAGCGGTAGAACCGAGCCATCATGGCACCCGACGAGCTGCGCACGCGGAACTGGTCGCTGGCAGACAAGTAGCCCAGCTGCGTCCAGCGCTTTCTCCAGAACGACACGAAGTCGCACACGCAGAAGTGGAGAAGGACGGCCTCCCGGCACGTGTCCAGGCGAGGCACCTCCTCATCCCTCGCCAGCCGCCCTTCCCTCCTCCGCTTCACGGCCGCCTCCCACAACAGGACGTTGTTGGTGAACCAGGTACAAGTCGAGCCATCAGGTGCCTGTGGCTTGCCCAGCTCCAGCCACGGCTCGACCTGCCACATGCAAACCGAGAGGCACTTGATGGCGTTCTTGACGCTCACCGCGCTCTTACCGTTCTCGTAGGAGATGAACCAGCCGCCCAACCGCAGCTGCCAGCCGAAGAAGGCGGCGCCAGACTGCGGGTTCCTCGGCAGCACCCCGAGGTTCTGGCGGAACACCCGGACGCTGCGCAGCACGTCAGCGGAATCAGCGGCCTGTCTGGGGAAACCAGAACATACCGGCACGGCTACTCGACAGTGCGTTCTGGCCAGAAGTTTGAGGAGAATCGAGCTTTGGCGACGAGGGCCCTCAAGGACGAGCAGCGGTATCGGTGCACATTCCTCCCCTGCGCCTCCGGCACCCCCTCGACGTTGCTGAAGGTGTACATCGTGCATCCTCGCCCCGACAGCCCCGCGAAGAAGCACGGCGCGGGCTCGGGCAGCAGCAGCAGCTCGTCGCAGTCCACGTGCAGAAGCCAATCGGCGCCGATCTCGCTCGCCCGCCCCAGGGCGTGCTCGCCGTTCAGGATCTGCCTGCTCTGCACCTGTGTGAGGGGGGAGGGGCAACGCCAACGGCCAAACCGACAGGGCAGCGGACGAGAAGAGGAAGAAGGCGAGGGAGGGCACACACACACACACACAAGGGAGGGAGGGAGGGAGGGAGGGAGGGAGGGAGGGAGGGAGGGATGGGAGGGAGGGAGGGAGGGTGGGATGGAGGGTCAGGAGGGAGGAGGAGGTGGAGGAGGAGGAGGAGGGAGGTGGAGGAGGAGGAGGAGGAGGAGGAGGAGGAGGAGCAGGAGGAGGAGGAGGAGGAGGAGGAGGAGGGCACCTCCATGCTGGAGAAGTGCCCCACGCGCTGCCAGGACGGCAGCGAGCGCCACGCCTCGCGGAGGGCGCCGTCCACGCCCACCAGCTCGACGAGGCCCGCGGCCAGCCACCCGCTCTCCTCGAGCACGCCCCGGGCGGCGTCCGAGGGGTCGTCGAGGTACAGCAGCAGCCGGCAGAAGCCGAGCGCGGCGTAGTGGCGCACGAACGACTCGATGAGGTTGGCGCAGTCCTGGGGGGAAACGTTTAGGCGGAACGTCAGGGCTAGAGGCTCGAGGTTCGAGGCTTGAGGTTCGCGGGCGTTCTTCTCGATTGCTTTTGGGCGGCTTTCCAGCCTCGGGGTGCCCTTCCAGCGGCTGCGCCTCGCCGAGAGCGCTCAGGTGTTCCCAGGTCGTCCCGAACGACCGCCAGAGGCCCGATATTGTGCCCGAAAACCACCAGGGACGTGGACCGGCCCTCAGAGGGGAACGTCGACCCAGAGCCGGTGATGCAGCGCCGACAGTTTGACGACAGGCACCCGACTTTGCCTGTCCGCACGTTCCTGGGCGGGGTGGGCCAGCGGGCCCTGTCGACGATCAATGGGACTGGGGGTCGAGGACTCCCCCCGTGAGGAGAGCATTTCGTAAATCGCGGCGATGACGGTCGTTATTGGGCGGGGAGGGGAGGGGGCAGGGGGGGGGGGGGGGCTTAGGGGGGGGGGGGCCATAACGTAACGCCCCCCTCCCCCCAGACTGGTGCCGGACGCACTGCGGCAGTGCTGGGGACGAACTGACGGGGGAGGGAGGGGGGCGAGCGCCACGTGATGTGGGGCCGGGGGGGGGGGAGGGGAGGGGTCAGAACGCGCGCTATGGCCCAGAGGGTAAATTACTCACTGCGTGGAACTCCCCATATGTGCATCTCATGTTTTATGTCATGCCGTGGCGAGCGTCTGTTCATGAGCGGTCGACTACAATAGCACGTCCACGTGGGCGACAGGGCCGACGAAGACGAGTGACCCCTGATGCGAGCGATTGCGTATGAGTCAGAGTGAGCTTTGAGTACGGTTGAATGCGAGCCTCTTCCTCTTCATCCCCCCTCCTCAGCTGCCAGGCCTTCCCCTTTTCAGCCCGTGGTAGCTTTGGAGCTTCCCACATGTGCATATGTTGTAGGATAGTTAGCAGTGGGATATGTAAGACGAGCGTTTAGCCACACAAGGCCATAAGTGCATGTCATGTTGGAGGATAGTGCCACGGTGAGCATTTCCAACGATCCCCGCACACAAC